AATTGTAGCCTGGCCTCAGAGCAAGCTCAGGTCTTGCCCCTGCATAGCAATAGTTCCCACTGCAGGCCTTTGCTTTGTGAGCCACTGCCTTACGCAGCATCCAGAGTCCAAGTGCTCCTGTGCAGAGTAGTAATTCCCAAACCTGGGACCAGGTATGTCACCTGGAAACAAGATACGTCTTATCAGCTGCTCCTGTGGAGACAAAGGCTCTTGCCTCCTTTAGACTGTGTACAGAGGCAGTTTTCTTCAAAGTAACAAGTCACTGACTGCATTGCAGGGAGTTTGTGAGAGCAAACAACAGTGTTTATAATGACATGGTGATAGGAGGGGAGGAAAAAAGCCACATCCAACAGAAAATTAATACTTGGGTGGATAGGAGATGGAGCCCTATGTTCCTTCAGGGACACAATTATGAGACCTTTTCAGTTGTCAGCCTTCTGAAGTTCTGTTTGATTCTGATACTTAGGCACAATCTAGTAAACAGCCTGGGAGCTCTGACATTTTGCAGGAAAGCAGCACAGCAACCAGTGAAATACTGGGAGAAGTAATGCCATGTTAGCGCCAAGTGGGTAGAATGACTCACTGAGGAACACTCATATGAATTAAAAGAACTTGGAGAACATCATTTGAATGTACAGCAGTGTTTGTGATGGTGACTGTTGCCAATGGGATGCTGAAGATCATTGGCTAAATTAGTTACCTCTAGTCACAACTAGACACAGACTTTACTTGTCTTAGGAATTGAGAGGCACATCTGTCTTCCACATTGATGGATACGAAGTAACTCCAGAATTGGAGAACTATCTGGTTTAATTCAGGTAGTAAATTCAGATTACTAACTTAATACTCAAGTCAGAGGAGCATCATTTATAGTAGCCAAGGAAATATAATTCATGTAGAGCACTAGTAATAGCCATTTCAGAGACTTTTTACTAGCAAAAAGTCAGTATTTATTTTGCAAAAAGTATGTGGATACTTCAGATTTTGCAGTGATTAATGTGTCACCTAAAGAATAGTTTCTCCAAGAGTTGTGAGGAACAGTTTAGTTCTTCAATTTTCTAAGTGTCAAAGTGACAGCTCTTTTCATATGCTGCAAAATTTTTTAAAAAACACAGACATTGTATGTTTTTTGGATTTTCTCCAGGATGAAGTTCCATCTTCTCTATGACTTTGCAGGTAATCATCCAGCATCAAAAACTGCTCATTTCCAAAGCCAACAACACCATCAACTACACACTGCTGAGTAATGACAATGCCTTCTTGAGCTACTACCCTCATTACTTCACACAGCGGACTCTGACAGCACGTTTTCAGATGAACAATACAAAGCCACCTCACGTCCAGATGGTGCGGAAACCAGTGCTGACTGTCATGGGCTTGCTGGCACTGCTAGGTATAGTAATCTCTGGTTAAAGAGCACATCAATAACCTCTTCTACCTAGAAGCTTCCTGCCTAAGAGAGATTATTCTAGCCATCTCACTGATGATAAAAGCAGGATTTCTCCTACCCTCTGTTTACTAGCTGTGTTAAGAGAATGAAACTTCATTTCCTCTGAGAACTTAATAGCTCAGGAGATGTTCCTGACACTCTTTTATCCTTTTGATTTAGTTTACTGCTTTGTTTATACCCTCTGTATACGAGCCATTCCTTTTTTGCTGACTGGTAACTTCCCTCTTGTGCCATCACATCATGCTGCAGACGTCTTTAAGAAATCCCCACAGCTGGAAGACCATGCAGCACACTAAAGGAAGTTCCTAATTCACTGTTACATGCTTAGATGTGGCTAGCTGAACTGCTCAGCATAAGAACTACTGTAGTATGTGCATGCATGCTCTGCTGTTGTAAAATAAGCCTGACTGAATACTTTACCTAGCAAAATAAGCTAGAACATAGCTCAACGTATAGATCCCCATGTTTTGACTTTTCCAGTATCAGAAGCTGATACAGGACTGACTAGCAGTGATGCTTACAGAGTTGTCACATTTTTTAAAGGAGAAAAGCAGATTTTTGCAGAAGTGAACAGCAGTGAAGGTGAGAGCACTCAAAACAGCACAATTGGTGTCCTGGCATCTGTGCACACCCCAAGTGAGATGCAACCCTCAGACAGTTGGCAAGCTACTCTACTGATGTATTCAAGTGAGGATAACAGGACTTCATTGAATATCAGCACCGTCACAGTGAATGCCACCCACTTCCCCAAACTTAGAGGTAAACAAATATCATGTAGGCAGCTCACATAATTGATCTTTAGGATAGAACATCTGCTGAAACACTACTGCCAAGTTGTCTTTCATTGCCAGAGTGAGCTTCATTTGCTAACTTTCTCTCTCATCTTTTGGGCACTCCCAGATTTTCTCAGATATGGTGCTCTTCTAGGAAAGTTTCTTTCCTAATGCCTGCACTTTGACCCTGCTTTTAATAGCAACTGCAAGTGCTATATTTTTGGAAAGCTACTAATCTCAGTGTCTGTGGCTGGATATTGCCAGGCAACAATTCACTTACTGGGATGACTCCAAGACAACCAACAAGACCACATGATTACACAGTTGTTGCAGTTGTCCAACTAATGAGTGCAGCACGTGTGCAAAAAATAAGAGGGTTTCAATTCTGGTTATGGAAGTAACAGCTTGAAATGTAAACTTGGCAAATATAAATTGTAGAGCCTTGTAAGAGGGCTAGCCTCGTGACTTTCCAGTGAATGCCAGGCTCCAAAGTGCTGAAATTACTTTCGAGAAGTAGACTTAAACACTTTCTGCTAAAGTTATTTTTGTTAATCTTTAAATCCAAGTAAAGAGTTTACTCTTTCGTTTGTGTTCCTTAAGAGCTGGTGTATGTGACATATTACCTGGATAACAACCAAACCAATCCCTACCTGAAGTGGAAAAAGCTAGGAAGCCCTGACTTTCCTTCCCCAGAACAGTTCCAGCAAATAAGGGATGCTGAGGTATGACCCTTTGTTTGCTTGAAGTGTTGTATGGATGAAGTGCTGGTGAATTGATTAACTACAGCTAAAGAGACAAGAAATCAGCTCAGGTAGTTGAAATTTCCTTAGCCCACAGTCATGCACATCTCATATACAAAAGAAAATGCACTTGCAGTCACACAGAGAAATGTAGCTGATACATACTGCTTTTATGTTATACAAGAGACTAAATGTAGATGACCAACTTCTTTGCCTCTGGCCTACCCTTAACCAAGGAGGCAGAGTTCCTCCAGAGTAAGTTCCACCTTCCCTCTCAAACTTCAGTAAGCTTTGAGCCCGTTTCTGTTCTGTGTCCCCAAATAAGTCACATGGCCCTGTGTATATTACAGAAGGGCCAGGTTGCTGCATTAGAGACGTGAAATGAACCCCTCTCAACAACAGAAATCAAACAGCTGCCTGAGGTGGAAACTACCTAGTGCAAATTCGGAAGACACTTGGCATCTCTCAGGGGCTCACAGGGAGGTCTGCAGTTTCCCCTCATCCTCACCAGTTCTGAATGCACTCCAGCATGTACTGAGGAGTAAGTCCCCTCTGAGAACTCCTTTCCTCCCTGCTGAAAAAAGCCATGCCCATATTACTTACTGTATGTGAGAATATGTGAGCAGTCTGTTACTTTAGCTCCCTCTCCTGTAGTTTCCCTATGCATTCAGACCCACAGGTTAAAATAAAGGAGACCACCTTTATCCCCTTTGGGGGCCCATAGACAGTAATTGCCGTCTGACATTGGTGTACAGTACTAGGTCTTATTTTCCCAGTCACCATAACCCATTATTGCTAAGGCCCATGGGATTCTATAGGAGCCATCCAATCTTCCTTCAACAGAGCAGCAGAAAGGTTTTAGATATTCTTGGCCATCTGCTGAAACCTCATCCTCAGAAGCCAGCTGAGTGGCTATTGCAGCAATAGCTTTCACTGCATGCTGGGAATCCACAGCTAAGAGACGGGGTGTCGTTTGTAAAGACCACTACCCTGAAAGACATCCTTGGGAACTTACTAAAAGTGATAGATCGTGCCTAAAATGCATTTGTGATCAAAAGGGAATTTGTGATCAACCCAGTTTGTGAGATAGACAAACACTCTGTTTCCTGAAGAGCTGGAAAACAGGTGAGAGAGAAAAGTCTCCCAGCTTGAAAAACTTTGATGCTGTAAGTCACATACCAGCCCCAACTCTGTTGGAAATTTACAGTCCCAGAGTAAATACACGGTCACTTTACACTGATGTAACAGTTGGCCTTTAAGTGCTGTAATGAAAGGTTATCCACAACACTTCTCTTTGACTCCACAGGACCCAGTGGCAACAGGCCCATTCCCATTTCCTGAAGGTGGTATCCTGACACTGAAGCAAGACTTTCCTGTTCCCTCGGTCTTTCTCATCCACATCTGTGCAAGACCCAGATCTGTTCCTGATCAAGTATGTGTTGTATTCTACTGTCAGACTCAGCAAATTAGAAACTGCTTCTTGCTTTAAGTCACACTAAGAAGAGCTGGACTAGCATTTGGGTCTATTATTTGTTTAAAGTAAGACTTAGTAAACAAACACTTCTCTCTGATTAGAAGTCTTTCCAGGGCACAATTAAAGATAAAGCATTCCACAGCAAGTGATGGGAGCCACCACTGAGATAAATGCAAGTTTAAGTTAAAATAATAATGCCGTACTGGAAAGTGCAGTATCTTTTTTAAAATCACAACATGTGCTACCAGGCTTGACAACAGCTCTCCAGTTAATAATTGATAAGTAAAAATAAAATGGAATCATGGCTGTTGTAGATTAGACATCTATATCTGATCATTCGGTCCCACCCATGTTCATAGTGGTGCCCAGAGCCTCTGAAGGTCCTCTGCAAGGTTGACAGGTTGGAGACATAGGCTACAAAGCCACAGAGCCAGGAATTTTGTTTTTTTCCCCAGTCTCAATGGAAAAAGTCAAATAATTAGGAATGATGAGCATAGAAATCTGACCTGCCTGATTGTTTTGTACAGTTGTCTTACATGGATATGTGTCTTTGAACAGGTGACTGGTGTTCGTTTGATCCCTCTCACAAAGGGGCAGGTCATTGTGTTGTGGGACAATGGCTGTGTAAATACAAAGTAAGTAGCTTTTAAAATAAAATGCATATAACCGAGTTACCAGCACATTACTTCCTAAGTTGCCACCAGTCCTACAAAGTGAAATGAGTTACAAATTAATGACTACTTGCCCCTTGAGAGGTGCTACACTGCATTTGTCTGACAAAATGAACTGTAGGACCTACATGCAGTAACTATGGAGAGCAACCCTGGCTAATTTGCCATCTGAGCAAGGGAACCTGCTTGTTGCTTACCAGCATCCAATGACATTTTTGAGGGACTTGCCTTCAGCATAGCAGACAGGAGGATCCATGATAAAAGTTCTATTAGCAGCAGGTGCCTAAGTGGGATCTTGCAAGTCCTTGTAAGAGATGTGAGCTGGAAGAGAAAAAACTCAGTTCCTTGCTCCAGCAAGCTGTACTAGACTGGAAACCCTCTGGAGGTGAACTGTCAGAGGCAATCCAAGGTACATCCAGACTCCCTCTGGAAGCACTGACTTAGCTCCTTTCCAAGCCAGTCTCTGTAAACTCTTCAGCCTTGATAACCCTGGTATGGGAGTAAAAGATGCTTAACAGTTTGTGGTGCTGCAAGTACCCAATATAGCAAGTCAGTCTTAGTGTTCTTCTGTGGGCTGTTGGAGCCATGGTTCTTCCTAGTACTGACAATTCATTCCATCCCACGTTTGGTAGAAATGAGTCAGCTGAATATTTCTTATTTTTTTGCTTTCTGTGTTGAAATGCCCTGAGATTAGGATTTGATTGCTCATCACATTATCAGTTGTATTTACTGAGCTGTCTGGTTTTCTTTTCTAGATGTATAAAGACATTTGAAGTGGAGTTCTCATCAGATGGAAAAGCATACCAGCGGATTAACGCCAAAGACACAATATTCACTCTCTGGGTCTACAGTCCAGGTAAGGCAGGAAGATGCATATTATTTAATCTGTCTTGTTAATAGTGCGACTCATGAGTGTGTGAAACATCATTTAGTAACTACTGAAGATATGTAACTTGCTAGTGACGTTCAGTCACAAATAAGAGTATGTCCTTTCCTTTAGCACCACATTCTCAGTGAAAGCCTTATTCTCAAGCACAAGTACTAATTGACAAATAGTTATGAGGACATTATTAGGAGTATTGTCATGTGTAAATTCCTGTCACAGAACCCAAAGTCACCCAGCTGCGAGCCTGGCAAGCTCCCTGAGAGGCAAGGCAGCACTTCTGTCTCTATTTGTAGCTGGTGTAGAAGCATGCAAAAATGAGGAAAAAAAAATTGCTCCACGTGACCAGACCTTGGTGTTGTGCCCTTGATAATAGACTCACAGCAAGGCAAGTCTGAGTTTTGGTCTCAGTCCCACAGATATTGGCCATGCCTTTGCCTAAATTTGTACAGTGCTCCTGGGGTAGGGCATTAGGAGCAAACTGCCTCGGTAACACTTGTACTGTACCACAGAGTCCTGAGGTGTTAGATTGCCTACAGATATGGCATCAACACACAAATAAGCGGAAGGTCATGGCCACCTTTCACGGAGGGGTTGACTGTCTTATATTTGTCATGTTCTGACCTGCTGCAGGGGAAGGTCACAGTTCTGCTCTCATCGTGGTCACCTGTCCCTGTTCCGTTTTATGCCTTTGCAATCTTAAGCTATTGAGGTTCTCCCTTGTAAGAACAGAAGAGGTCCTCTAGGGCAGTTTGTTCTGGCTGTCTGAACACCTAGCCAAGGAGAGACACATTCCTTTGCTGTTTCCTAGAACTTCCTCTTTAGCCCTGACTAGCTGCCTAAGTTTTAGATGGCAGCAAGTTTCATCTTTGTCAACAGGAAAAGCTTCTCCCAGAGCCTGTGGTCACTTGTCCTCAAGTACAGCCTAGATGCAATAGAAATATACCCAGATCAAAAAAAAAGCTGAAAGAGGTAGTGATGTTTTCTTTGGGGTTTTTTTGTTGTTATTGTTTTGGGGGCTTTTTTAACCAAATGTAGTCTAATAAGCAATGTCGCTATCCAAAAGTATTACTAGATTACTAGTAAGCACTGATCAGAGCTGTGTAAAACACCGATAGACCTTGCCTCAAAGTGATGGTCATAAAGACCAGTTCAGAGCGATTTTTGCCAGAAACACAAGTTCATCTTAGCCTGAGAAAGTCTTAGCATCATCAGTGGGTGCACAATAAAATTCAGAGCTATTATCGCAATGTAAAGGCTACACAGGTAAAGGTGTAAATCATGGCTAAGGCCTCTGAAATTAGGATTCATTATCATCTAGTGCTGCACATCCAGGGAACCTATCATATTTAATTGTTTGTTTCAAAAACAAAAAAGAAAGGACTGCTTGAAAAAATCTCACATCCTAGCAGCCTTTATTGCTAGGTACTTGCTTCTCACTCATTATTTCTAGCATTCTTTTTCTTCTAGGGAAAAAAAATGAAATACTAAATCGTACATAAAAATCAAGTAAATAGATGAGAAAAAACATTTATATTGCTTGTGAGGTTAAATACTCTGCTAGTGAAGGCTCTTCCAACTGGATCAAGAATGAAAATGAGCAAGAGCCACAGATCAACTCATACCTTTGGAGCAAGTGGTGCTGCTTCCTGAGTTGAGCAGAGGGTTTTCAGTCAGCCTGCATGCTTCTTGTGCTCCTTCTTTGTTGATCCTGTCCCCACATAACCTGTTCCAAAGGCACAATTCAGGCAGAAAAGTAAGTCAGAAAAAAGGAAATTACTAGTTGTGGGTTGCAGAAGATGTCACAGCTTTCTTCCAAAGGGACTGCTGTTCTGCAGTCTGTACTACTTCTGTAGCTGTACTTAGCAAATCCTAATGAGGAGAGAGGAGGTCCTTGGTGTAACAAAGAAAAAGAGCCAGTACTTGGCCATGAAGAAATCTAGACAGGCACAGACACACTTACATAGGGTGCAGAACTGATTTCACAACTTCCCCAGCCCATTCCACAAACCTACATTTTATAAGAGTAGTGCCTGCTCCTCATCCTCCAAGCACCACAGGTGTCAGCCTTTCACAGTGACCATTTCTAACCTTTTCATTTGCAGGAAGCTCTGTCTCCGGCTTTTACAAAGTGCGTGCCATTGACTACTGGGGGAAAGCAGGCCTGTCCTCTGTTCCTGTGGAGTATGTTGAAGCTTTCAAGTGACTCTGAAGAGTGGTGCCTGACTTGGTGTCTGAGTGGTGTATACACCCTGCAAATGACAACTCCCCAGAAAAATAAACTCCTCCCAAGCTGAGGAGGGAGTATCGAAAGGACCTGATGAAGCAAGTTAGGAATGCAAGTTAGAAGCAACTGCCCCTCTTAACTCTTCAGAGCTCAAAAGGCAGTATTATCAAACAGCCGCAACTGACAACCCAACTGGTACAATTCTAAGATGCAGCCGTAAGACTGTGATTCAGCTTGGTAACTAGGACATATGGGATAAGTATTTATTATTCCCTCTTTTACACTGAGCTAATGGCCAGGACAACTTACAGAGGTCCCAAACTGTGGTAGGAACAGGACCATCACCTCACACTATGAGTAAGGATGGCAGCAAAGGCACAACGAGGACCTGAGAGTGAACTGCCTGCCGCAACTGCCAGGCTGTCTTGACATAATGGTTTGATGGAAAAGCGCACAGCAACCACACATGTACAGAGAGTTAAGTGAAGGATTCCTGATTCCCTGCTGGTTAGTCACACATGCTCCAGCGGGTTATTTCAGAGACTTGCCATATCTTCAGATGTATGAGGTTCTTCACCTTCTCACAGAGGAGTTTCTACCCAGCGCTATCTGCATTTGCGGCTGTTACTTGGATGCCAGAGCTATTCCCCTCACACAGGCAGAGGGAGGGGTAGCAGCTCATCCTCAAAGACTAAGAAGGCGTAGGAAGCTCTATCCTCCAACTTCCCTGCCTTTTCTGCTTTCTGCTTTTGCCCATGTTACCTGTTTGCACTGTGACCGTTAGCTGCTGCCTGTTTGGGGTGGAGGCTCTAACCCTGAAACCCCTTCTTTCTCTCCATTGCTGTCACCTAGCCTGGCCTTCTGCAAACTTTACAGCTAAGGTCTCGCCCCAACATGCCTCCCTTCTCAGACTGTAAGTGACCTGAGGCTTGGCTTTGGGTGACCGGGAGAAAGCTGAAATGCTGATTAGAGCCTTTTGTGTTTTTATATTACAGGAGAGCACACTCTTGAATGTAACAAGGCTGCTACTGACAACCAGTTAGGAAATTAACCAAGAACAGTTTGAGCTTCTGTGCTTTGCAAAGCATGTGCCCAAGCGTGTGATAGCCACAGATCATGGGCTACAGAACACCTCTGGCTGTCCTTGCAGCTGCCAAACACTTTATGTAACAGCAAAGTTGCCTGAAATTGCAGGGGTGTTTTTTTACTCTCCCCTTTTCACAACTGGCACAGTTTGAACTGTGCCTTTAAAATGCTTGTAGAGGGAAGGATAATGCCAGTGAAAACAGCTGGAGTGTTTTCCATAAGAGGAGCAACTTTGTCACACAAATAAATCCCCTACTGCTCTTTCTGCTGACATCAGCCACCTCACCAACATAACAACAAAGACTGCATATTTGATGAAACATTCAGGTCTCAGACAGAAAAAAACAAGTTTGCACAGTAGGAGAGAGCTGAGCTACCTCAAATGGCCTCACTTTCACAGCACAGAAAAGAAACACACAAAAAGTTGGTATGTATGAGATGAGACCTTGTATTGCCTCACCTTCTGGTTACTTGCCCATTTGCTTAAGCTGAAAGTTAGCCTTAAAAGATTAATTTTGTTGCAGAATTCGTAAGAAATGTTTCTTGCCTCACTGAAGTTTGAATAAGGAGTGCTTGTCACATCCTAATCTGCCAATTCCTTGCCCATAAAGGCTTGTGCAGAACAGAAAAGGACCATTGGAGCCTACTTAATTGATAACTTTCTCAGTTTCAAAAAAGTTAGTGAGAAGTTCTGCTTGGATGGAGATAGTAAATATACATTTCAAAGTTATTATAATGTGAAGAATTCTATGTGAAGAATCAGAATATGCAGTTAAATAAAATCTAGCAGTTAAGACATATTGTTTTGCCAATATGAAGTTGAAGTTGTACCACAGAAAAAATTACTTTTAGAAATATTAAGGTATAGGTCCTTTAGAGATTTCAGTGTGTCTGAAGCAGGGGAAGATACAGGAGCTTGAGAGGACAGTTTATCCTGTTAGGGTGTCCTATTTGAGTAGCTTTCTGCTTTAAAATTTTCCCACATTGGCAATCACAATATAGCAGTCTTTATCAAACGAAGGACCATGCACTAGTTACGGGTGTTTGGAAAAAAAAATGAAGCAGCTCTCATGAAGTAGAAAATATGTAAGTATGCAGATCATGAAAAATAGACAATCGAAAATCGTTGCCCTGCTTTATTTAGCAGACAAACTTAATTTATACAGAATCACAGAATCATTAAGATTGGAAAAGACCTCTAAGATCATCAAGTCCAACCGTCAACCCAACACCATCATGCCCCCTAAACCATGTCCTGAAGGGCCACGTCCACACGTGTTTCGAATACTTCCAGTGATGGTGACTCCACCACCTCCCTGGGCAGCCTGTTCCAAAAAAAAAACCTCACAGTGAGACAAGTGAGGTCAGTAATAGCATATGTAAGGCAAATGATGCAGAGCTGATGGGTCCTGGTGGAATGCTTAGCTTTTGCAAAGGTGCAGAACAGAGAATGGCGATTCACTTACTCTTTCACCGTATTGAAGTCTGTCCCTATGGCAAGTGATTTCCTTTAGGGGAAGTTATTATCTTTTAGAAAATTTTAGGCTGGGAGTTCTGCTGGCCCAGGATTTCTGCTTCACAGCAGTGACAGACTTGAGGTGTGCAGCTGCCTCTTTGAAGTGGTTTGTAATTCTCATGCTTACCTTTTTTGTCGTGTTAAAAAGCAAAGTAAGAGTGCTGTTTTCTCTAAACTTTCAAGGTAAAATTTCACACATTACCGTATTGTTTATTGAAGCCACAAAAAAGCATAAATTTTATTTGGAAGGGCAGAGCTTAACATGTTGTAGATGCAAATAAAATCCAGTTTCTTAGGGTCAAGTCTAACCACTTCAAAAATCTGTCACTAGGTCCCTCTTTTAGGACTTTTAAATTAGATACTATCCAAAGTATGGGAGGCAGTGCTCTTTCAGGTATTTTCCTGGTAGTGGCACATATGCATGGAAAGCAGAGCTGGCTAAAAATGGTGCACTGTCTGTTCAGAAACCAGTTTTGAATATTCAGCAAGATTTTTTTGTTCTTTGCTGCTTTGGTATAAACTTAATCCTTTAAGAAATGAGCAAGTCTAAACAATTGCAGCAGAGAAGAGAATTTGATATTTCCAGGCTTGAATTTATTTCCAACGAAGTACAGAAGTTTTGGGCTGCCCTTATCCTTTTTATAATTTAATGTCTACAGAAAAATGTTATTTAGTACTTGAAACTTGGGTTTTCTGTAACCATCTGCTACTGTTTCTGTCTGCTAGGGCTTCCAGAATTGCATGTTTAATTCTACCATCTCCTCCGTTACCAGGCAGTGATCAGCCCTCCCGAAAAGTTTCAGTTTTCAAAGTGCCAGACAGGCATAGCGCTAAGTGGGAGTAGCAGGTGCTTAGTAGTTCTGTAGCATCAGAATCACAGCAAGACTGCAGACCACGCAGGTATGTCTCTTGCTGTCCGTAAATCAAATAGGAAAAATCTAACCACAACTGCAAGGTGGCATTGTTTGCCTGCTCTTCAAGCAAACCCTTCTGAGACTTTGTACCAGTTTTACAACTGTTTGTTAAAATGAATGCTAGAGAAAAACCTTTCAAAGGAGTGTTTTATATTGTCTAATTGCATCTGTACTGTTGCCATCATGGTATCATTTGTTACCATCTTCTGTGCTACCCAAGAAAACCAGTTTTTAATCTTCGCATGAACCCTGTAAAAACAGGATCTGATCATTGTGTTCTGGAAACTGCTCAGAAGTCTTGTGTAAACAACTTGCTATTGGGAAGTAAAGCCTGTTCTCTAGTTGTAAAAGACAGCTTGGTAAGTGCAAGTTCCAACATTACATAGAAATGAAGCGTGAAGGGAATGTGACCATAAGAAATTTCAAGGCTGAAGTAGGAACTTAAATGTGTAGATTGCCTCAGTTGCCACAGCCCACGGAAAACTGGTCTAAGACAACATGATATCGTAGCGTCAGATCTCAGGACTTGCAGTGTCCTTGCTGTGAGGAGGTTCACTGGCCTGTGAAGGGCAATATCCTTGCAGGGTTCCTCCTGCTGTTGCACAGTCATAGCCTTTCTGCCAGCACTAAAGGACCTTCTGAGGACAAAACAACACTCCTTTTCATTTGTAAACATCTTTTTCTTTTCTCTTGGTAGTGGAAAGTTTGTGCAGGACAGAAATGACCTGGGACCTATACACACACTTAAAACCAGGAATAATAGACTGGTTCTTATCATCCAGCTCAAACAGCAGACAAAAGTGTGTCTGCCTCTAGACATACCCTAGATGTTTTATGTTGAACTCAATGGAATAACAAGAGAAGTGTAAATCAGATGAGAATACACTCATAGCTGGCTGCCCTACCCAACCTTGTTCACATTTCCTGCAGTCAATGGAGAGAAATGGGTATGAGCTAACTCCCATCTGCTTATTAACTCACCAGATCATATGATGAGGGCCTGCATGCGGTCCTGATGGGAACATGTTTCCCTGGTTCCTCCAAGAACAAGACAGATTCCTGGGACATGTATAACTTCATGGTGTATTCTCCCAGAATCACCACTATGCTACAAACCTGGAGGCACAACCTTGTGTGGCTGAGGAGGGATTTCACTGCCTAACTCCTCTGGACAGACTATACCAAGCACAATAAGGATACACTTTTTCCTGCATATAGATCCTTCTTGCTAGAACTCCCATCTGCTCTGGTCATGCAGTTACTATAACCATAGACATTAAAAATCCCACTTCTCTAGGACTGGTATTATTGGTCTGAATGTCCTTCAGCTAAGGGTTAGTATTGTCTAATCACTTGTGATACAAGTCTGAAGTTTACGGATCTCCAACCCAATACTTCCTCATGGGAAGGGGGAAAAATGGTGAATATTCAGTCAATGCCCTGACCTTGCACTTGGTCTAGCACAAAAGGCTGGTATTTTTTCAAAACTCAGTAATCTCTGTGTGGTTTTTTGTTTGCATTGCCTGCTGCTGCTGTTCCATTTCTGTCCTTTAGGTGGTAATTCACCATCTTGTTCCCCATCAAGATAGCTTTCCCTAGACCAGAAGAGCAAGGAACACCTTCATTCGATGCGGGCTGAGAGCCTTAGGAGTCCTGCCTGGAAATCCTGGGAAATGGAGGCTTGAGAAACTTCCCTGTGCATCCCTGGGATAATGTTTCTGGCCTTGGAGAGGAGTCTTTAGTCAGTGTTTTTTATGTTCCTCCCAACAGATGCAGTAGATAATCATTGGATACTGTAGATAAGATTGTGCAAGCATCTTGCAGAAACTGTTTTATAGTGTAGTGCTCTGAAGGCCTTCACTCAATAGCAACCTTGTGCCATATACATTTTGAAAACCTCAGGACACGGGGCTGTTCAGCTTGGTCTTCCCTCTATTCTTCGTAAAAATGACTGTGTTGCTGACGAACTGCAGGGGTCAGCAGGGGGCTGGGGGTATTCTGGCATGGTAGTTTTATTCGTAGAAAACAATCAAAGTGAATGTGATTTTACTAAAAGCTGTGGAAACAATATGTCAGAAATGCTC